TATAATAACTAAAAATATTGCCCAAAATTCACTATCATTTAAGGGGCAAACGTTAATTGGACTAAATTTTGTGAGAGAGAGGAACTAATAATAACAAATACAAATGAGATGAGTAATAAAAATAGTTACATAGCCAGGGATCGGAATGCATACATTAACGTGATGGACTTGTTTCAACGTAACCCTACAACCAACAATGTTTTACAAACAATGATATCATTTCTGTAATCAAAGATTCAAAGTTTCATTTAAATTTTAAAGTAGCTTGATAAATTGTTATATTTGTGAACTTCATTGAGTAAGATTTAACAATGTCAGCTTGTTTTCTATTTTCAATTAAAATATTTACGTAAATCAAATACTCTGTAAAATATTATTTTTCTACAGTTTGTTCTATTTTGACTTAGGGGTGGACCCAACCAGTTTGGCATTCCAGCCCGATCTGGAACCGAGTACGGGACTGTTTGGGACCGGACTAGGTCCGAAATTTCCGGTTTCGAGTCTGGGACTGGCACTGTCCGCCCAAGAGGGTTATTCGGTCCCATTTCACCTATTTGGGGACCGAACCGTGCGCTTCTATTCCCGGTTTTGATCCTGGACTGGCGATTTTTTTAGCCTTGGAAACAGGCAAAAAGAAAAATAGAGCGGGACCGGGACTGGACCATAACCGGGATTGGACTGCCAAAAAAAAATAGAACGGGACTGGGACCGGCCCAGACCCAAATACAACCGGATCAGACCCTGGCTTCACTAACCAATATAATGACTGGCCGATCCGGGACCGGAACCGAATTCATCCCTACTTTCACACTTCCAAATACATGAATTGGAGTGTTTTTTGGATGAAAAACTCAAACTTAATTTTTTCACCCAAAGTTGGAGTTAGTCATCACTCATAAGGAAAGAAAATAAGTGAAGTGCGTAAATGGCAAATTATACCGTACGACCGGCATACCATGCGCATGGTATGCCAGGTCTGGTACGACACCGTTTTGCTAATTAAAATCAATCTGAAATCCTCCTCTCCAATCCTTTGGCCAGCCGCGAGTCTTCTTCCTTCTCCGTCAGTGCTGCTGGGTGCTTCTGCTTCGTTTTTTTTCTCCTTTTCAATTCCCCCACGCAAAGAACTAAAGACTACCTCCTCCCCACCCAATTGTCATGTAGTCCGTATGGGATCTGCCATAATATGATACATGTCCACATGCAGATTTGTCTTTACATCGAGAACAAAATTTTATCCATAAAAAATAACATAAACACATTTATTGGTCAAATAAAATAAACATACCATATGGAAAAAAATGATTTTTCTTTAAAACATAATTAATTTAAATTAGTTGAACAATTAAACTTCATATTTTCATTGTTTACATTTGATATTATATGAAGTTACATTTTCTTCTGCGCAAGTTACATCTTAATGTACGCGAGTTACATCTAAATATATGCGAGTTACATCTTAATGTATGCGAGTTACACCACTGAATAAACTCCAGTTATGTCATTTTTATTGCCCTAATATTAAAAATAAAACATATTCACTATTTATAAAAAGTAATTAAGCTATTAGGATCAATTTTTCATTGTTTACATTGAAATCAATGTTTATAATATCTCAAACACAAAAAAATCATTGTTCAATTTTCTTACAAGTTACGTTCTGTGTACACCCACGTTACATTTGGCATCAACACGAGTTACATTTGTAATAACACGAGTTACATTAAAAAATCAACCCCTGCTATTGAAACAAAAAAATGATCTTTTCTAAAAAATTATTTTTTATAGCCATGATATGAAAAACAAAACATATTCACGTTTAACCTAAAACAATTGTGCAATTAGACTCTCTTTTTTCATTGTTACATTGAATCAATATTTGACAAGTTACATTTTGGATGTGCTTGAGTTACATTGATCAATAATGCGAGTTACATATCTTTACACGCGAGTTACACCATCCATGTTACTGGAACAAAAAAAGTCATTGTACACGCATGTACTGTTCACGCGTGTACTGTTCACACGTTTTTTTTAATTTGTCCAAAACTACATCATTTTGGGAGTGGGTGTACAATGCTCATGGTGGGACGGTCGTATGATATACGAACTGTGCATAAATATAAGTAAGCATCAAGTTTTCCAAAATGGGTAAGTGTCGGATAGTACATCGGAAAAATGATTAATGATTATCTGCCCAACATCTTTTCCGATGTATTTAAAAAGTAAGCATTGAATTTACAAAAATGAAACTTGTGCTCTCTCAAAAGTGTGATATTGCATGGTCAAACCCCACCCCCAACTCTAAAAAAACCCAGCCCCATTTAAAACAAGGTAGATTCTATGGTACCCATAAGGTACCATACCTTTGTCCACATGGACCAATGAGAATGTAGCAGTTGAATTATTTAAATCTAAATTAAAAATGATAAAGTGATGTGGTCGAATCAAATGGGTGGTAGGTACGGTACCCCATTTTTTAGAAAGGTATCGAAGTTGTCACCTTAAAACAATCATCTAAATTTATTAGTACTACTCATTCATTTCATTTTATCCCATATTGGATGTCTTGTTTTAGTTTGACACAAACATTAATAAAGTGGTTCAAAAATAAAAAATTGTGATTGGAGTTTGAGTGGAATAAAGTATAAATTAAAAATGATATGGACCATGCATTTCTTGCCAAAAAAGAAACATGACTTTGTTTTGGACAACCCCAAAAAAAGCAAGACAACCAAAATGAAAAAGGCAAAATTGACATAAATAATCCCTACTTTAATGCATTTTACAAAAATAATCCCTACCAAAAAAGTTTACAACAATAATCCGAACTACTTAACTCTTTTATAGAAATAATCCGGAGTTAATGGTGTTAACTTTTCCGTTAGTTGTTTTTGCGTTTTAAATATAATGAAGCGAAAATATGTACAAAAATCAAGAATATTATATACTTCATATATTTGTCCTTATATTTAATTTCATTATGAATTAAATTTAATAGTCATTATTTTTCATAAAATGTAATAGAAATATTATAAACATACTCATCAAATTCTCATTTTTCTTTTAGTTCTAATCAATATTTTATTTATATTCATTTTTATTTCATTGTAATAGAGATTTAAAAGTAATTTTAGTAATTTTATATTAAACATAACTACGTACTTAAATGAATACAAGTCTGTGTTCAAATATTTTTATTACATTTTACAAAATAGTTATTATTAAATTTAATTTATAGTAGAAATAAGACTAAACAAAAACATAATATTATTAATATTTTTATATATATTTGCTTCATTTTATTTTAAATTTCAAAAACAAAATGGAAAAGTTAACGCCGTTAACTTCCGGTTTATTTTTGTGAAACAATTATCCGGTAGGGATTAGTCATGAACCCGGGCCGGGCCGGGCCCGTCCGGGCTTTTTTTTGGGAAGGAAGGCCCGGGACCGGCCCGGGTAGCCACCGGGTCCGGGCCGGGCCTCCGGTTTGGTCAATTTTTTTTTCCTGCTTTCCTAACCCCCCCTCACCCCCCAAACCCCCCAAACCCCTCCTAACCATCAAGCCCAACCCGGGTAACCCCAAAAATGAAAAAAAAAAATTAATTCGGCCCAGACCCGGGCCCGACCCGGCCAGGCCGGTTCGCCAAATACAAGGCCCGAGCACGGACCCGCCCCCCCACCGGGCCTAGGCCCGACCCGGACCCGAGAACCGGGCCAGTTCCGGGCCCGCACAGTAGCGGGCCGGGCCGGGCGGCCCGAATCGGGTCCATGACTAGTAGGGATTATTGTTGTGAACTTTTTCAGTAGAGATTATTTTTGTAAAATGCCTAAAGTAGAGATTATTGGTGTCAATTTCGCCAATGAAAAATGAGATAAAGAGAGTAATTATTATAGCTCCTATACGTACAGACTAGACTGGAACACCCAAAGAATTATAGACAGGTATTACCTTCGTTCCTGTAGTTATCTGATCGATGTGATTGATAATGAGTTTTTAAATGTGATTAACGTAAGAATGAATTAGAATCGCACAAATATTAATAAATATGAAGACAAACTTTGTCGAAAACACAAAAAGGAAAAATTAGCAAAAGTTATCATTATAAATTATTCTCAAAATCAAACATTTTCAAGAGTAGAACCCTTCAATTAATACATTGTGAGATCATCATTCTGATGAACCTTGAAGTTGTATTGCTCCTACTTAGCGTACTTCATACAAGCAAAAGAATACGGAGTAGTAATTAATTAAGGAATTAGCTGAATGATAAACTAGGGATAGACTTGGAAATTTACTAACATCAAAGCCCAACATTTCCATTTAAATGTATTCTGTACAGTATTTAGAGGTAAGAAATACCAATCAAGTAACAGTGTATTTGTCACTTACATGGATATACATGTATAAAGTTTAGTTTATATGTTACCTCTAGTAAATCTAAGGGAATATTTGCGATTGCTACTACTTTAAAAAATAATTTTAGAGAAAGTGCTTAATTGTGAAATTTGTCAGTGTTTTTGAAAAAGTAAAAATTAGTAGTCTTTGATAAAATAAGTGTTTTTTGAGTAATAGAAAAAGTGAAAACCACTTTAAATCACTTTTCTACTTGCTTCATGCTTTTAACTTTTAAGTACTTAATTTAAGTAGAATTAAATCTTGAAAACACTCATTTCAATTTTTTAAGCCAAAAGTTGAAAAACATACGGAGTACTCCGTAATTTTTTTTTGCAAACACTTCCTAAGTACTCCGTACTACGCAAATGCGAAATGGAAAACCGAAAATGGAAAAATGAAATATTTGTATATCTTCAGTTGTACACCTAAGTCTACACCTAAAGAAATACTTATAAATATTTTTTCATATATGTACTGTGTACACATATTTTTCATTTATATATATATGCACATAATATTTTTCATATAACTTGTTTAATAACCCGATAATTAAAAAAACATTCTACATTTTTAAATTTTGAAACCATTACATATTTTGTATGGAGTACATCATTAAACGTACAATGCAGTACCTTTATAGCAATGCACTATGTTATGAAATGTTACAATGTTTAGAAAGAAATATTTCAAGATCTTATCGTAGGTTTCAGCATTATTGAATCCCAGAACCTTATCCTTCTTATCCATGTAAAGCTTATTGGAGTAACAATATAGCTAAGCAGACTGCCCAAATGAGCTAATCAAATCCTCGTACAAGTAACTGACTATACAAGGTAAGCGCTTATTCGACACAAGAACCAAAGGTAGTTGTATATATGTATTGATGTATACATGGATGCAATTATATGTGGATGATTTTGGCACTATATTAGTCAGTAATAAATTATTTAATGAATCTCAACTGCACTTTCTCTGTTTGTAGTAGGCATCTTGTCATTCAGCTCACGGCCCTTTGTCTCAAAGGGGAAAAAGATCACACAAACGCCCGATATGAAGATGACAAACTCAAACAGCCAGATGGCCAGTGTCTGATGGCATCCATGTATCAGCCCAACTGCAACTATAGGGCACACAATCCCCCCAACTCTTGCCACTGAGCTCGCAATTCCGAATCCCGTGGTCCTAACCGTTGTTGGGTATACCTATACAGGATTGGAGCAATGTGTATTATAGAAGTTTGATATTAAGTTTACCTTAATAGAATGAGTAGTCCAACACGACTATTTTGTTATTTTTATATTTCCCAATATGGGATGACTTGACACTTATAACATACCTCTGGGGCATATATATATACAATGGTGAAGGTTGCTGTGATGCACGTACGAGCCCCAAATAAAAGTCCTGTTGTTAAACCTTTGGATTGAGAATGAATGAGCGGGAGAAGAAAAATGCAGCATACGAAGAACAGAGCCGCCATCGAATGTTTACGGCCGATTCTGTCAATCATTACCGCAGATAGGATAAGCCCCGGGATTTCTTCAAGATGTAAACCAAAGAAAATGTGAGAATCAGCTTCATTATGACAATTTTACCATTCAAGATATCTGTGAGAAACAATAAGGGTCTGTTTTGGTTAGGGAGGTTGGGAGAGGATATTTTGGGGAACTTAGTCTATATCTTGACATACATTTGACATTTTTATAAAAAAGAAAAAATTCAATAACATATAATGGTATAACAGAAATAACTATTTGTTTGTTTTTTAAGAACACTATTCATCAAGATATAGATAGTCCCTCATAGCCTTCACCTGGAGAACCCTACTTCAAAACAGATACTAATGCTCTTTTGGCACAAAATGAATTTAAGCAAACTTGATCAACTTAATAATTTGTTTGTTTCAAGGCAAAATAGGTTCTTCTAGTTTGAGTTTGGGTTCTTTCCAAGGATCTTTTTAATATTTTAGAACCAGAACATAGGTTGTCAAAGACTAAGGTTTACCTCAAACAACCTTCCACAACCTCAAATAAACTAGTCTTGACGAAACTTAGAATAGGAGGTTTTGTGAGGTGAGTCTCTTTATGAGTAGTTAAAATATATGAACCCAGTTTAAAATCCATTTTAAAAAAAACTTTTACTAGTATCCAAACATACCAGGGTTCAGTGGTTCACCTATGTTGACCCAATTTTCACTAAACTTGGGTTTACTATAGTTTACTTATGTCCACTCGATCAAAACAAAGCCCAAATCCGAGGTTTTTGGAGGTTAAGTTTTCTCTATAAATAAAAGCCATACAAATATACCCGCAAAACTCGTGACGAAAACGTCTCGGTAGTTAACAGTCTCAGAGTTCTTGGATTTTGAATGGGACGGCAAACATTTGTCGTGCCCACTGTTCAATTGGGTTGTGAGGAGAACAAGACCGTAGTATGAAAATGCATTTCCAAAGAAAACCACCCATAAAAGAAGAGTAGATCTGGCCAAACTTGGTGAAAGAAGCATGGCAAGTGAAGAAAACCATCCTAAGGTGCACTCCACACATTTAGACTTCAGACTTTGGTCTGTTTTAGGTGACAGCAAATGCTTGTCTTCTGTTGGTGTGACTTCGTCCACCACTTGTTTGTTAGAGACGAGAATGCCTGGCGGCAGTGTTGCTCCATTGATCCTTGCTATTTTTTCAAGAATCTGTAATGCTTCTGCTTGTCTCCCTTTTGCACATAAATACCTTGGAGACTCGATCGTGAAAGTGTAGAACAAAAGAAGCAAAGATGATGGTATGCAGGAGAGTGCAAGTAGCCATCTCCAACCCAGTCTTGGCATGACTATCTGCAATAATAAGCATAAGAACTCTATTGAATAGATTAACAGATTCACAAATTTTAAGAACTCTTTTCCCTTCCAATAGAAGTGACTCATTTAAGACAAAAAGAAAGACAATATTCTTCATAAAGGGAAAATGGTAAATCTACGCAATAATTTATGCAAACTATGGACTTCGAACTTTTGTATTAAAAGATCAATGTAATATATATATGTGTGTGTGTGACCATGTGTCTTTATATTTGACCGGTAACCCACAGGATGTAGGGCATTGCATCAGACAAATTAAAAAATATGGATATGGTAAAAAATTACTACTCTGTATGATATATTGCTCATTCTGTCAAAAAAATGATATATTGCTCATTGGAGTATGATTGACACTAATCTCATATTAAAACATGGGGTTTGATCCCAAAAGGTTAGTCTCACACGAGGAGTAAAAACATTGAATACGGAGTATGAGTTATTATTCCAAAAGGCTAATATGTTAGGTTTACAATTTTATATTTTACCAACGTGGAATAGTGTGAAATTTCAATTTTACAAAGAACAATCAATCTGCTCAATACAAAACACTTTCAGATTTAGGCAGGATGAAAGATAGAGAAAGATGAATCTTTCAACAGGAGAAGCCCAAATGAGCGTACCCATGCCATTGAAGCCTCAAAAATGGTGCCGATAGTCCAGAAAGCTGAAAAAATAACCATCCAGGTGCCTCTACTTGGAGCAGGAATGAACTCCAAGAACCATGAGAAAAGGACTGGACCCCCTCCTAAACCAAAACCAACCAGACAGCGCAGGATAACCAACACAGTTATGTTTGGCGCAAAGGCACTTGTAAATCCAGCAAGAGCAGTGATCATTGCTGTTACGAAAAACCCATTCCTGATGAATAAAGAGGCAGAGAAACAAACACAGATGGCGAATGTAGGTGACACTGTTAGAAACATATTCACTAAGACTCCCTATACTGCTATACAATAACCTCAATTTCGCAGTCATTCATTTAGAACTTTCACTTCTCTCATAGTCAAAATTAAGTTTTTTTCATTAATACACATCAAAGGGCACCCTCACATCATTGGATGGTAGTAGAACAGGCCTAGAAAGCACAAATGAGTTGGGTTCACAAACCAAACTAAGCCTTTTCCACAAAGTGGAGATTATACTGTCAAGTATGTCATAAATATAAACAGACACACACAAAAAAACAAACACATAATACAGTATGGTACTTTTCCTATCAGATTCATTGGCTAGAATACTAGTCTAACTCTTAAAGGTCAGAGGATATAGATTTATATTAAGATCAAACAATAAATCAAGCCTAATAACCCCAAAATGAGGACATTGACTTCAAAACTGTTCTGCAATATTAAGCAAAGATCTTGCAGAAGCCAGAAAGTCATATCATCTTGCATAGATGCTCAGAAGAGGTCATTACCTCCTACCATAGTTGTCAGAAACAATACCCCAAGAGTAGGCGCCAACCAACATGCCAACGAAAACCATGCTAGTTAGTAAGGTCTCTTGACTAGGAGAAAGATTCCAAGCAGAGTGAACAGCTGGTCCCACAAAAGAGAGAAGCATCATTTCCATGGCTTCAGATATCCAACCCATCCCGGCATAGAGGAGCACAAGAACTTGGAATTTCCCAAATCCCATTGTAACAAGTGCTTCCTCTACTGTATACACATTTCTCTCTTCATCCATCTGCGCTACATATTGGTAAGACATAGTTAGCACTATTTTTATCTACAAATAGAATCCATTTAAGTGTAGATACATCATAAATGATTCCTGATTACAAAATGTTAAAGATTTTGTCTTGAATCTGCTATAAATGAAATTTTAGCCACACCTTTTTTTTTTATAGAAATACTTTTCTTGTAAAACCCATTGCCTAGCCCGTTTGGTAATAGTTTTTTTTTTCTTCTTTTTCAGCCAAACTCTTACGGCGCAGTACTATTTTTATTCACACTAAATTAATAAAGAATGAAAAAAGTAATACGGAGTATGAGTGATGATTCTTTCAGCTCAAAGAACCATTTTAGCTTTTTTCATATAATTGTTTCTTTACTTAAGAAAGAAAAACAATGTTGTTAAAATTTAATTAAAGAAGAGAGAGAAATTCTGAATCTCATATTGGTTTCCTATTTTTTTTTAAACAAATGACAAATAAATTTTTGAAACAACAAAAAAAGGAAATCATGTGTTAGCCGCGGAGCCGCGGAGGGGTATTTTAAATATATATTTTTAATATTTAAGCACATTTAACCATAAGTTTAGCATGTTTTACAGCCCGTTTGCTAACATATTTTCATCATATCTGTCTAATTAGTAAACTTTTGTATTAAATACTACGTACGTGATTTTTAATTTGTTACACCTAAAGTTCATCCGCTCGGTCAACCTGAAAGTGAACTCCGCATTATACGGCTAAACTGTTAATACCGTGTTTTACACTTTTAATCACTCAGATCCACCTATTTCCAGCAACCTGTCTACCGCCTGGTGCATGTACAGTCTGAATTAGAGAAATCTAAAGTGTTAGTCCCAAAAAGAATTACAGGTTATTATGAAAGTGAAGACTTTCTGGATCTCCATGTTTATCTAAAGACTTTCTTTTGACCTTTCTTTAGACCCATAAATAAACTTGAAATGTTAAAATTCTTTAACTGACCCTTTGCAAAATAGAGGACTCAAAAGAAATAAAAATATTAGAATACAATGATTATAATTTGGGAATAATATAATTGAAGAAAAGAGAACGACTTCATATAAATTTTTGAGGTGCCTCCTTCAAAGAAACCGCCTGCTGGACGCTTCCATCAGAAAATTGAGCTGCTTCAATTTTTTTTTAAGGGTAGGTCATGTCTAAAAAATTTCAAACTTAAAACTCAATCTAGAAGTCATTTTTGTTGAAAAAAACCGTACCAAAATTATATAAAACGCAACATTTTTCAATAATTCATTTAAATGACTTTCTAATTGAATTTTAAAGTGATTTTTATTCAAGTAGAATATGCTCAAACAATTGCATAAATGAATTGCCAAAAGTACCTCAAATGGAGGTGTCCAATGGACTTCTCCTCTGGAATTCCAGATAGGTTATATATATGCAAAAAAACATGTTTTGGCAAAATGTGATGAACATACTTGGTAGTTGGTGAGATCACACGAATACACGATTCCCAGTAAACCGGAAGAAATGTGCTGATTTTGGGCTTGATTTCTTCGGATGAAATTGTTTGCCAGAACCGAAGACAACAATTATAAAGGTGAAGTTTTTTGGAGTGTGGCGGAAATGTAGCTGTTTCTGGTCTTCTGCTTTACATTCTTCTTTGAAATCCACTCCCTGCTGTTGGGGGAATAAATGATAAACAATGTGAAGCTCAGATTCTCAAATCTCAATAATGCAAAATTTGTGCGATCCGTAGGCGGCTCTGCGGCTCCCATAGGTGTCCACATGACATTTAATCTATGGATAACCAGCCGTTTGAGGCTATTGCAAAATGGACTTTGAAAAAAAAAAGTTGTCTTCCACGAATAGCAATCACCCGCCTTGCAGGAAGATTCTCTTCCACGAAGAGGAGGATGCAGTTCGCGGAGTGATTAAAAATATTATAGGTAAAAATAGTTAATATGATCACTCAAATAACAGAAATTGCCCTAAATGGGAGTAAAAACGTTTTGAAATTTCAAAATAAGAGCATCATTATTTTTGTTCCCTAAATAGGAGTAATCTGCCAAGTTTAGAAAAAAATGCCATGTTTAAAGCCTTATAATTCCAAACTTGGCAGAAATTTACTCCTATTTAGGGAATAAAAAAAATGATACTCCTATTTTGGAATTTCAAAACGTTTTTACTCCTATTTAGTCAATTCTCTCCTCAAATAACTTCAGCCAATACAGTCAGAAAAGTAACTTTAACTTTACTTTTTCTGCTTATTACACAATTCAGCGGGTGAAAGCAAAAATTACTTGTTTGGTGAAAAATTCGATGATAAGTCTGATAAGCCGAGAAACAGTGTTGACAAACGGTCTCGTAATATTGTAGGCTTGTAACATAGCCCATTAGATGAGTTTGTTTAATGCTTGATATCCGTCTAATTTACAATTTTCGAAATCTGAATCGGTTCGATCTAATTTGTTTAAATCTGGTTTGATTTGCGGTCCGTTTGCTAACCAAATCAATTGTATTGATTGAGTCTGATGAAATTTATGAAGTTTTGATAAAGTGGTTGGATTGACTAATTCTACTGATTTATGAAAAAATTACCTTTAAAACATATCTATATCTATATAATATAATAAAGCAAACCCCTAAAGAACCCTTTAGAGAAATTGTTGACATGTGGCAACATCCTTTGTATAAAAACATGACATGTGGCACACACAATAATTAAAGAAAAAGTTATTCAACTTCCGAAACTCTACGCTCATATATCCCAATATTATAGATATGTATTTATATTAATACATGTTTATATATTTGTTATGATGTTCAATATAAAATTAGGTAGAATTTTGCACTCGCCGATATTACAAAATCCAAATACTAATAAATAAAAATAATTAATAATGTTTAGTCACTCTTAAAATAAAAATATTACTCTCTATTTCTTTTCTCATAAACTCTTTGAGATTCTCCCTTATTCGGTGTTTAATTTTTATAAATTGTTTCTTATTTGTTTCCAAATTATGATGATTATTATTACATCCTATGTTTCATTAATTTTCTCCGACATTTCCTTTTTCTTTCATTCACTAAGTTTGTGTAGCTTTAGATATTATAATGCATATGTAGTTATAAATCATTCTTACATTATTTGCCCTACTTTTTCATTTCAACATTAGCTAGATAGACTCTTTTTTAATAGTTGCACATGCATAGGAGTGCAAACGCGCGAGCCGAGCCGAGCCCGACTTTATGTAGGCTCGATCTCGGGCTCGAATATATTGTATTGGCTCGAGCTTGAGCTCAGCTCGAATGAGCTTAAAAAATCCGGGTTCGAGCTCGACTTGCAGACATTAATGTGAGCTCGATAAGGCTCGATAGGCTCGATAATTTTGGTTCATTCAAAAGTTACAAGTTCAATTAGCTCAAAAGTTCGGGTTCGAACTCGAGCTCAAGTACGAAACAATCTTTAATATGTGTGCTTAACATTTACAAATTGCAATTTACATGCCCAACGACAAAATTTTATGGGAGAATAAACAAAATATAATCTTAACTCAAGTCTCCATCCAGTTGTACTTCTAATATAAATCAAAGTGGTCAAACCATGAAGAAATAGTGGATGAAATTTTGATTATTTTAGTTAAATTACTTTATAATTAATAATATCTCACCGGTCCTTATATACATTTATGAATCGGTATTATATATATATTGATTTATACTATATATTATATATACTAATATATATATATTATATATTAATTTGTATTGCATATTAATTTATTATATATTAATATAAATATACACATATATAAAACTAGGCTCGCGAGCTAATGAGCCTAAACTTAGTAGGCTCGTTTATGGCTCGACTGCTTAACGAGCCGACTCGAGCTCGAGTTTGACCGATCTCGATTCGAGCTTTGACCGGGCTCACTCACGAGCATCTCACGAGCGGCTCGGCTCATTTGCACCCCTACACATGCATCAATCATAATGGGACAAATGTGATATTACTTATCTATTTATTAATTCACAAGGTCAGGCAAACCAATGCCTAAAGTTAGATTCATATATTTGTTTTTGTCTCATGTTTATTTATACTTCACAATTTATGTTCACATTGTCGGGTTAACACTCCCCAATTTCATAGCTTCGATAGTCTAACTGCCTAATGATCTCAAACGATGCACATTATTTTTAATCGATGTGCACAATACACTTATAGTTAAAATAATTCAGACTTTAAATGGACAGGAAAAGTTGAATTTATTTACAAAAATGTCACAACAATTTTTATTCATGATAGCGCATATTTCTATTTCAAATAATGAACAATTTTCAAATCTAACATTCGAGTTCATTCTAATTCTCTTTTTACACGTTAAGGTGTCTTCTCATCTGAACTCAACCTTATATATATAATTTACAATTTTCATATCTAACGCTCCAGTTCATATATAGAAAATAGAAATAATGCTAGAGTAGTTTATTTGAATAATTATTTATAGAAACAATAGTTCAACAAGGGTTGTGAATTAATAAGTATATTTGAAAATTATTTTGGTAGTAAAGTATTAATATTGAAGATAATGAAAGTAAAAACTAGATGTTTATATTTTGGTTTAGTCGCAACCTGATGGGTCAACTCACTTAACCTGCAACCCGTCCAAATTGCACTATAAAACCAGTGAGTTAATCGGATTGAATAATGACAACTCTAAACTCTAATTCACTGTGAAATGAAATGAAATGAGCTAGCCATATGAACTTTGACTCATTTTGATAGCTCTGTCCATAGTCGATTAAATTTTCTTTTAAACACATTGACGAACTCACATACAACTCATTTTCTTTACAATTTTAATAAAAATCTTAAGCATACATTTTCCCGTGCAGTGCACGGGTACATATACTAGTTTTATTAATAAAATAAAGACAAAAATATATGGAAAATAGCTAAAATGATCCTCTACAGTAACTTCAGCTAATACAACCAGAAAAATAATTGAAACCTTACTTTTCTATATTATTACACAATTCAACGTGTGAAATCAAAAGTTACGTGTGTTTGGTGAAAAAGCTGGCTAATAAGCCTCATAAGCCGAAAAAAGGTCACCAAACGGACCCTTGATATGTTTAAGTTTGACCTGAACTGTTTTGGTTTGGGACTAAAACCACTTGAAGTGTAAACATCTTTACAACCATTAGTTTTTTGTGTAATAAATAAAACTTGTTACTTTGTTAGCATGTCTAATTTGCCCTTCTACTAATATAACATCATTTGCTTAGCCAAATAGCAGCAATTTACGCAACTTTGGCATAACATAGTTTAAGGAAATCTCAAGCGTTGGTCTCAATAACAATAACAAAACACCTAAATAACTAACAATATATGGAGTTGAATTATGAAATGTTGAATCTGAACTAGTAGTTGGATGAAATAGATCCGTTTAGAAAAAAGAGTTGAAAAAGTGACCGTTAAAAAGGACATATAATATATTAAATGAAATATTTATTATAATGATTTTTATATTTAAATGTATATATATAAAGATTTTACATAGTAAAGCGTGCACGCGCACATATATAGAGTAATGTTCAAATCATGCTAACTCCATTCTCTACCGAAAAAAGTATCAAATATTAATTTCATTTCCTAGATCATCAAATAGTAGTTGAGTTTAAATATCATTTTTTTGATAAAATAATTTATTCGTTAGATAAATGTTATCTATATAATATAATAAAGTCAACCTTCGAAGAACACGTTGGAGGAATTATTGAAATGTGGCAACATTTTTGTAGGAAAAAATGACATCCGACAACACCATAAACGAAAAACTTTCGCGTAGCTCACAAGGTAGGATGAGGATGCCACAAGGAAGAAGACTCATATTCAAGTCCAAACAATGACTTGGGATGGAACCTCACTCTCGTTTCATTAGACTGTAATAAAAAAATCAAATTACATCCTCTTGGATAATTGTCCAGTCGGTTGTAAGAGGCCCTCAAGGATGAAGTATCATCATTTTTGGTACATATTCAACTTCCCAAACTTCACATTTACAAACCCTATTCAACTTTTAACCATTTATAAGTAGATAGCTATTATCCTTATCTTTACATCACTTACAACTTTAAGATTTTCACTTTCTTTTTATTATATAATTATTATAGAAATAATAGTTCAACAAAGATTGTAAAATAATATAAGTATATTTGAAAACAATTTTTGTTGGTCCCGTTTAATATGGTAATCAGTCTAGAGGGGGGGGGGGGGGGGGGGGGGTGAATAGACTGATTGGTTTTTCAACTTTTTCTCAAAGTCAAAACTGACTTATCAGAGAAGGTCTGATTCTGATGACAGAGAAAGGCTGGTTCTGATATCAGAACTGGCCTTGGCAGCGGATTCTGATCTGTCCGGGTAGCCTCAGAAAAATACTAAGGCAAATGCCTTTCTGATAACTCTGAAAACAAGATCTGCTGAACACAGATTCCAAGTCTTAGAGTTAATCAGTTAATATCCTAGGTGCAGAAATATAAGTTGCAGTAAAGTAAATGACACCGGATATTTTTATAGTGGTTCAAGGAACAACTCGTTCCTCTAGTCCACTGTTCCACTAGCTTTGAAGTAGATCGGTTACAAAGCTAAATCCTAGCACTCAAGAAGCACTCCTCGTCTTCTTCAAGCCTAGATGCCACCCAGGATGCAGTTCCACGTCCTGATGGCTGATCCTTTCACTCAGCTTCCCGGAAGTATCACCACTTCACTACTGCAGTTACTTGGACGCCCTTCTTTTCAGAAGATCCTTTTGAAAAACAGAGTTTTTCCTCCAACTTGCTTCGTTACAAATGATGTTTGATGAAGTTCTTGAAGTGTTGAAGAACAGGATGAACTTTGCTTGTTTGTTGGGGATGAGAGATTTGGAGTTTGAAT